TGAAATTCACCACCAGAAGGCGTTATATACCCACTTTTAGGGGCACAATCACCTTATCTTGGGACTAAGTCTGACTATAACCCTAAAGGGGCAGTCGTGGAATTTGCCCTTCCCCCTCATTTTTTTCCGCAATAGCCTCGAAATGCCTAGAGACAACAAACAAGAAATGTCAAAAAAAGTACCCCAATACTTGTGCCAGCATGCATTGTAGTTGCTCACGTGACCATTTGATCTATTCTTAATTGTTTGGGTGATTGGTTCGGGCGGAGAAGACATGGCTTTGACCCACGTCCCACATTTATTCATATAAAATACCGTAAAATTAATATTACAACTGTTTTTTCAATTATTTGACATAGTAACCATGGACATTATACGAATTTTTTTCCACCAAACTGACCCTAGAAATTTCATACCGATCGACCGAAGCGTTCTTGAGCTATTAACATAAGTTGTATATGGAAACACCTTGTTCATTCTGGTCCGGATAGGGTAAACAAAAAAATAACGCACTATAACACATGAACGGTTAGGTCTTCTTAAGTGTAAGGAATTAAAAAGAAATAATTATTCTCATACAGTCCCTGGCCAACAACTTTAGTTCAATATGGAAGACAAAACAGCAAAACAGGATCAACGTTTAACCGCCATTTTACTCCCAGGTCCCAAATACACATTACTCGTTATCTGTACATTGTATCAGCCTGATTGGTGCGCGTGATTTGTCGTGTAAACAGCAGTAAGCTTATTAATTAAATAAACATATACAGTTCATAAAATACAAGTCATAAAATGTTGCCAGAAGTTTCTGTTTTTCTTTTGAAACCTTAATCTGAATAATAGCTCTGTAATGAACACATTAAAAAAAAGCTGTAAAAAATTACCATTCTCTGTCATACGGAGGTGTACAGCAAGTCGAGGACACTGTGACGAAACAAAAATCAAGTTGATAAAGAATTATCAACGTGTATCATCATACCAGTTGCTCAAATAAGAAGCGGCCTATCCGAAATTTTAATCATGACATTAAACTACGTATTGCTTAATACGATTTTGCGAAATGAAATCAAAACGAAGTGCCTTCGAAGTACGAAGAAACCCCTATACTGAGCTTTGCAGCTTTTATTTTCTTTTTCAGGCTCTTGTCCCTCGCCATTATCATCCCCGCTTTTATTCTGTGTAGATGTTTCTTTACTGGATCGGACCAGACTCATTATAAGGTAAGTACTGCTTAATCCCAGATTGAATTATTAAATATTTCATGAAAAATGAAAAAAGTAAGACTGCTGCAAACTGCTTACTGACTGGGTGGACCTGAAATATATAAATCTAAAAATTAATGTGGCCTGACGTTGCGAACTTAGCAAGTTCTTCTTCAGAGGCTAAAACAGAAATGACAGAGTTACATACATTAACATGGGGGTGCACACAAACATGCAGGGATGAAAGAAGAAACACAAAAGGAGGATTAGGTGGGAAAGGTGTGGAAAGATGCAGGGGAGGGTGCATGAGAGAACAAAGAAACAAAGGGAGATGGCAAACCACAAGGGGTCTGGTATGAACAGGGGAGGGACCAGAAAGGGGAAGGATCAAAGGTCACAGGGAGTGGGAACGGACAAAAGAGTGTGGGAGTGAAGGGGGATTATGCCGGGGGGGGGGGAACAGTATGGAGGTGGAAAGGGATGAAAGATGGGGGAAGATGGGTAAACACAAACAATGAAGACCAGGTGGATTATCTGTAACAGAAGACAATGGAGGAAGAAAAAGATTAATCATTTCCAAGTTGGATGTTGAGACCATGTGGTTGAATAGTTCGAAGACGATTCATCCACACTTTCTCTCTGCTGAGGCGGACTGAGTCCTTGCGATGGCCAAGAGATTCAATGCCCTGCAAAATCATATCAGAAATGGAGTGGTTAGGCAGGTTGAAGTGATGACCAACAGGGGTGTCTAGTTTCTTGGTGTTGACCGTTGACCGGTGGGCATAGAAACGCTTCTTGAGCGTATTCTTAGTCTCACCTACATACTGCACTCCACAGACCCTGCAAGAAATGAGATATATGACATTAGGGGTGTTACAAGTGATGTTACCAATGGTTCTGTGGGTAGTGACAGAAGAGTGGCCAGAAAAGGAGTCAGACTCCTGGATATGAATCTGGCAGACAACACATCTGGAACTGCACTTGAAAGTGCCATGCTGGGTGGGAGGGGATGCATCCAAGGATGGGACTTCAGCTCGAACAATCAAGTCCCGTAGATTTCGAGGACGCCTGTAAGCCAATGTGGGGCCGTTGGGGATGGCGCGGGCAAGGCGATCTGAAGTATGGAGGATATGATGATTGTCATTAGTGATTTTGCGAAGGGGAGGGAGATTGGGGTGAAACGTGGTAACCAAGGGAATCATGGGTTTAGCCCTGGCATCAGGGGCCTTTCCCGTGAGAGCTAGGTTTCTGGGGATAGCTTTAGCTCTGGCAATGGCACGATGAACTTGGCGAGAGCTGTGACCCCTGGCCACCAAGTTGTTCCTCAGTATCTGTGTATGGCGGGAGAAATCGGAATCATTAGAACAAATTCTTCTGAGTCTGAGTGCCTGGCTAAACGCTATGCCAGTTTTGCAGTGCCTGGGGTGACAGCTGGAGGAGTGGAGGTACTGGTGGGTGTCTGTGGGTTTGGAATACAGGTCAGTGGTTAGTGAGTTGCCTTGCTTGCGGACGGTGACATCCAGAAAGTGGGTTTGGTGAGCCGAGAACTCTGATGTGAATTTGATGGTTCTGTGGAAGGAATTGATGTGGTTAGTGAAGGTCAAGAGACTGTCCTCATCGCTGGTCCAGATGAAAAAAACATCATCAATATATCTCCACCAAATCCAAGGGCGACATGGGGCCGAGGCAAGAATGCGTTCTTCGAGGTCACCCATGAAGAGGCAAGCCATGGATGGGGCCATGCGAGTGCCCATTGCAGTGCCGTGTACCTGTAGATAGTGTTCACCAAGGAAGGAAAAATTGTTCTTCGTTAGTATAAGTCTCATGAGGGTGCCAACATCACTGATGGGAGGAGTCGTGTGTCCTGCCTTGGCCAGAGCCAAGGAGCAAGCACGAACACCCTCCTCATGTGGGATGTTGGTGTACAGAGATGAGACGTCGAAAGTCCCAATGATGGCCGTGCTGGGAATCTGGTCCTTGATTCCTTCAAGCTTGCGTAGGAAGTCTGGGGTGTCGTGAATGTATATTTCGTCATACTTGACAGCAAAATGACCGTTGTGACACTTCACCTCGGTCATTCTGTATATTTTTCTCATCCTGTTGCTTAATACGATTTTGCGAAATGAAATCAAAACGAAGTGCCTTCGAAGTACGAAGAAACCCCTATACTGAGCTTTGCAGCTTTTATTTTCTTTTTCAGGCTCTTGTCCCTCGCCATTATCATCCCCGCTTTTATTCTGTGTAGATGTTTCTTTACTGGATCGGACCAGACTCATTATAAGGTAAGTACTGCTTAATCCCAGATTGAATTATTAACTATTTCGTCATACTTGACAGCAAAATGACCGTTGTGACACTTCACCTCGGTCATTCTGTATATTTTTCTCATCCTGTTGAAATCCAAAGGAAAAGCCACAAACTTTCTCAAAACTTCTTTCTTGGTGCTAGCATTATAACTTCTTGAATACATTAAAATAATATAAAACCTTTGGAGACGACAACACGGTTGTTTTTCCAACAAGTGCCTCTCAGTAACAAGGATCAAACATCATGGAGCTTCGGGAACCTTTGAAGATTCTTTCGTGACAAAGAAATTTTTTCTGAAATAAATTTCTCAATCCCCCCAAATATCACTGAATCCAGGTAGAAGTTCATTAATGACCTCCTGTTTAACAGATATTTGCGCCAGAAATATTCAAAGTAAATCCAGCAAGCTGCCCGAATACAGATAACGCCCACTGATAAATGGCTACAGAGTATGGAACAATAATGGGCACAAGGGTCGCTTGCCTCTGTACCCCAAAAAGCACACCTGGATCATGCATTGGAGGTACACTGTTTGTTAGCAGTGGGCTCATCTGAAAGTGAGTCATGAGGATCTTTGGCATAACACAAACAAAATGTTGCAATAATACAATAACAACCCACGTGCCAATTCTGGTTTTAAAAAAATGAATGAACAACAGTAAGATCTACTGGTATGATATTTTCTAATTCAAGACTTCTGAAATGCTTAAGATATCAGGGTGAAGTGTTATCAATTAAAATAAATCATCCTCATCCAGTCGCCAAAAAAAATCCCAGTCATCCAAAAACATAAGTTCAAAATAGCAAGAAAGAATTGGTGTTCAAAAGACGTATCAAACCTAGGTCCAAAATACACATTCAAGTACACTCACACGCCAGTGAGTTAAACAAAGTACTTGAGATCAGATTATCTGTACATCGTAGGCAGCATAATTAGTGCGCTGATTTATCTGTAAACATATTTCTAAAAAATACAATTAGTTTCTCGCACGAAACTGCATTTAAATGTAACAATAATATACATTGTTTATTCAAGACGAAATTTGTTTTAAAAAACACATTTTAGAAACGAAATTATCATAATTGGGAAAAATACAAACCTTCTCTTTCGTGCACAGCTGTTTAAGAGCGTTGTTAAACAAAATGAAATTAAGTCCCGTCGAAGATATATTGGAAATATCCCACACATTTCATAATACAAAGCCTTTTTATTTGCTTGCTTATCAAGGCTCATTTCTCACAAAACAAACAGAAACCTAAAACAAAATTATGGTAGAACAAAACCAAGAGATGTACGAGGTCATATAAACATTGAAGAACATGTCCTCGTCAAAATAACTCATTACTGACAAACGATCCCTTTAAAAATTTGTTTTATCTTTAGGTGATATCGCCGTTAATTTAGTCTTTCGTTTACGCAATGCGACTGCACTAAGCTGTAATTATATACCAATTTTTATCGCGGCATCGGTTGGCTCTGCGTTTGAAAAGATTGGCGCTCATCTTGAGTGCAGCATCTGCACAGATAAATACAAGCAGCCGAAAGTACTGAACTGCCTCCATAGCTTTTGTGAGGAGTGTCTTGTAAAATACCGTGATGGCACACACCGAGGAGCACCACAAATCCCTTGCCCTGTGTGTTGTCAGGAGACGGTACTTCCACAGTCTGGCATCCAGGGCCTCAAGACCAACTTTCATTTAGTTGGTATGATTGAGGAATTTGAATTACAGGAGAAGGTAGCATGCTCAAGAGACTCGAAGCTTCTCTGTGAGACATGCGACGAGGAAAACGAGGCTTTGCATCACTGTCTCGACTGCGGAATGAATATCTGTACCACCTGCCGCAGGACACATTTACGGTTCCCGGTGTCGGCAAACCATGCAGTAGAGACGTTGAATGACATTCGCCAGGGGAAGGTGAACGTGACTAAAAAACCGGACCAGTCCAAATGTCACAAACACAAGGAGGGTGTCACACAATTCTATTGCAAGACATGCGACGAGCTGATCTGCCAAGTATGCACTGTCTTAGATCATTCTAAACCCGATCACGACATAATCGACATCGCAAAAGCTTCAAAAGGATTCAGACAGTCACTGAGGAAAGGCTTTTCTGCTTTTGAAGAAGACATTAAGGGCCTTGAAGTATCCCTACAGGGTGTGGCTTCATCTAAGAAACTTTTGAACGACAACACGGTAACGGCTCGAAAGAGGGTGCAAGGCAGAGCTGCTGATGTAATAGCAAAGGTCAAAGCTGAAGAGAAACAACTCCTCGATGAGATCACTACGCAGGAAAAGGAACAACACAAGCGACTGGACGAGCACAAGAAGACACTAAGCTCCCTACTACATAGAAAGAAACATTGCCTACAGACCAGCCAAGAAGTAACGAAAAATGCATCAGATTCCCACTTCCTTTCCCTCCATCCCGTGATCAGCACAGACATGGACAAGCTCAGAGGTCAACCAACTCCCACGATGGCAGGGTTGAAGTTGCATCCCGTGTTCGTTAAGAGCAAGAACCTTGACATCGATCTGGGCAAGGTGATGGTGGAAGACACATGGGAGCAGCTTCAGTGCTTTGGAAAGCAGGGGAGTGGTGAAGGGGAGTTTGAATCAGCCAGTGGCATTGCTGCTGCTGCTGACCCTGACGAGATTGCTGTGGCTGACTGGAAGAACAAGCGAGTGGTAATCTGCAACAGCCAGGGGCCTACTAAGAAATACCTTCCGATAAACGCAAGTACGTTGTTAATACATACACACACACATTTTATACATAACCCCATTTCAACGTCCAATAAAAATATATAGGACTAATGACCGTAATATTTTTCCTCTTTTAATTGTGGACAGCGACTAAAACTTTACCGGTGTCCCCCTACCCCCGTGTTCATTTTCTTGAAAAAATCGCTGTGAAATTTGAATTTCAGAGACACACAGAAAGGGAAACAATAATTGTGCTTCCATCAAAATCAATATAAAAATCAGTTGTCTAGATTCTTTCTAGACTTGGTGACAAGTCGGTAAGTGTTTTACGTACGGTAACCGGTTACTGGCCACACGCACCAAAATATTGCTTCAATGTGTGTAGTCTGGTTTCCAGATAAACGCTAGCGAATTTTATGCGAGCACTCTGATCATGGGCGTCGCGGGGGGGGGGGGGGGCAAATATCCCTGCCCATCATCCAAAAATGATTATTTTGGGAAAATCCTGCAATAATAAGGATTTGGGGATTTGGGAGGAAAAAAATGTGCTGGAGACGCCCATGACTCGGATTGGTTCAGCTTCCAGAGTGTTTTCTAGGGCCGCCACGAAAGATCATTCTTATCACTTTGACGGTTTGTACTTTGTGTTGTGTAACATAACAAACTTCATTATATGGCATACACGACTCATATAAATCAAGTATATCACAATGATACATTTTCTTTATAAAAACAATTGACCAAGCTGAGTGTATTGGTCGGTAAAACGTCGCCAGATCGGCAAACATGTCCCCGACGTATTGAGAAGAACTCCCGATGTAACGGAATGAATGAGCCCTCCTTTGCGCAATTGGATATCATCGCAAAAAATTCACTGCATATATTGCGCTGCCTGCATATGTCACCATCCTAAAAACGGTTTCCCCCCATAATTTTGTAGTTTCTCCCAAAGTACTGTTTTCTTATTAAATTATTATTATTTAAAACACCAACGGCCAATCACAATTGCCGTAGTCAACGGGAGTTAGTGTCATTGCAATGCTGACCGGAGACGAGGAAAGACCGTGTCATTATTTGCTTTCCTTTTTTTCCGTTTTCCAGAATAAACCAGCACAAAACAGAAACCGAGTCGCCGAGTCCTCTCCCTACTTTTTTACTCTTAACACCCAGGGTCACACATGAATAACGGTGCGAGAACGCAATAGTCAAGTTGTCAGATTTGTCGCAATCCGGCCGATTACGTACTTCTAGTCTTATGCCAGCCGCACCGTAAAATCGTAAAAATCACTGTTCGGAGGAGGCATTGTAGTTCATCAAGTTCCCTCCTACCGAACATTGGTCTTTCTACCTCTTTTATTAGCCCCCCCCCCCCCCCCCACCCACCCACCCACACACACCTTGCCCTTCGAGTTCAAATATCATGTCCTCGTCCTCATTGCCCATGTTGTCATATCCTACAAAACTCGGGGTAAGAGAAATACAATTTTTCTTGAAAGGATGAACAGCAGCTAACCCACTCTTCGAAATGTTTTTTACTGTTCAAATATCCTGAGTAAAGAGCGCCACCTGTTGTCAGTAGGTGTCCAGATACAGATTTATTGTTCTACACCCAAATAAAAACTTTCCAATACGATGCTAATGAGAATAATACTAGAATTCTTGACCATCATAATTCCTAACGCTATGTGACATCCACAGTTTATGATGGCCAGTCTATGTCGAAAGAAAACGTTTTTGATTAAAATCCCCACATTTATTATACAAACTCATTCGTGCACGTTGCATATGCATTTTAATTTTTTTCCCAAATGAATTTAACATGAAAAGAGCTGAAGTGGATCAGAAAAACTTGACTCTCAAAAAGTCTGATTTATGTATAGTCGTTAATTCAATCATTTCTGTTTTACCTGACAAGAGTAATAACTCGAAATACTTTCAGTCACCTGATCATTTTATTCAAAATTATTTTGTTTCCAGATGACGTTGTTGCTGTATCGAATCAGTGGGTGTGTGCAAACCCCGGCAAGATGATGGTTTACGATAGGGACACCACGCACAAGTTTGATTTCCGCACAGTACCAGATGATGAGGTTGGCAAGACAGCCGTGCGGCTCGCGAGCATGGCTGTCATGCCCAACGGTAACATCATAGCGGGCGATAAGGAGAGGAAGGTGTTGACTGTGCACAATCCCAGAAATGGTGAGATCCTACACACCATGCCAGTGAAGATAAAACCTGACTTCTTGGCTGTACTGAGCAATGGTTGGATTGTGATCAGTGACTCGAAGCAGGGACTAGTGGAGATAGTGGAGGTTTCTAATGGCAACGCTGTGACTGTTACCAGAATCCAGCCAACCATCGACGGTAAACCGGTGAAAAACTGCCAGGGTGTATGCAGCAACAGCTCGGGTATCTACCTTGCAATGGACACAGGGTACGTCAACACCGGTCACATACACCACTATAACTGTGCAGGTCAGTTTGTCAGCTGCGTGGCCCAGGGTTTGTACAACCCCTGTGGAATCACATTCACAGAAGACGGGCAGCAGCTGGCAGTGGCTGACCTGTACTCAGTAAAGATATATCACAAGGTGTGATGCCAACGATGTCATCCAGCATAAAACCGCCCTCACATGCCCAACTTTGGGTCGGTTTATGCCCGATTGTATTAGACCTAAAAGAGGCCTAAGTATACAATGAAATACATTAATATAAACAAAACAAAACAAAGGACTGACAATGATATCCTAATATTGTCTCTCGTATAAATTTGCTCTTTTCTTCAACTTTAATGATGACACATTTTAAACATGACACGTTATCATTTTTCCTTCTGAATTGTTCAATTCAGACCCCAACCACATAATTAAAAGTTTGAAGACACGCATCGTCGCCAACGGTTACTTGAAGCTAAAGATGTATGGATGTTTAATCTTACCTTAAACGAGAACCCTCCCACATTCAAGTTACGGTCTGAATATGATGCCCATGTCACGACAGGAACATATTATCCGGTGAATGTTCATTGTTGTGTGGCTCATCCGAAAATGAATACTATAGGCGCAACAGAATATGCATACAAGAGTTGCTGTATAGTTACGTCACAGAGAGCTAATTAGAAACAATATCAGAAAACGAAAATGTCATTTTCTTATAACATAGTCAATTCGGTTGTTTTGTGAAATTATAAAGACTGAATCTTCTGGTGTGGAGAGCTGTGTAGTTTCATCAAAGAAAATCTGAAAATATAATTCTTTGAGCGTTTGTTTGTAGTACGTTACAAGATTCCAAATTGTTGGAGCATCGTTTTTTGCAGTAGAAATGGACAAAAAAAAATTGACTTGAACTTATATCAATTGTGTGCAAGTGACAAAAATGTTGACTTTGAATTGGTTCAATGATCGTTCATTTCGAATTATTTGTATGCATGTGACTCGTTTTTGAGATGTTTTCGAATACAAAGAAAATGCATGTGTTAAAGGAATAAAGATATCGTTGGATGTGCTGGCAAAACGGAATCTACCGCAGTTGAAAACATACGAAAAGTTGTGTTGAAACTCTTTTACATGTACATCCAAATCGATCTGAGCCATACATAACGCTTGCAACAAATATGAAAAAAAGTAATGTGAATACAATGATTTTTGCTCAGAGAGGTGTTATTAGCAATATAATAGTGCGTTTAAATTTCATGTAATTAGGATAAATAATTGTATGCACTACTGACAATCATGTATTTATACGAAACCAACTATGAGGAATTGTTTTCAAATGTATGTCATAGTAATCCATTTAAAAAAGTGTTTGTCACAAATAACAACTGGCGTGTACATAGCTAGCATATGTTTACATTCCCTAACACATTTATCGAGATTCTACTAAATTCAAAATTTGAAACTGTGTATCTTATCACTCAACCATAAGTTATTAAAAAAATAAAGTCTTGCGTACAAACTGTTAAAACTGTATTCAGTAGATTTGATTCAAACAATTTGATTGTAAAACTGTTTTTAATAAATGGGCCACAAAATACACCACGACAACAATAACCGAAAATTGTGCATTTATTTGATTTTGTATTAGTCTTGAGTATTTAGTCTTGGTGTGGGTTTGCTTTGAATTATCTTGGTTTGGGTTGGGATGGGATAGGTTCATTGGGTTGGGTGAGTTTTGTTGGGATGGTCTAGGCTTCTTCGTAGTTTGAAAACCATGACAAACATTGATTTGGGCAGCGAACACGAAAGACATTGCTGTTGCAGATAACTTATCATGTAGTTTTAAACAAGATAAACATGGACATAACTGCCCTAAAGCACGGCTGCATGCACAACCCATAAATATTCCATCTCCAACATTGATTATTTCAATCAAAGCTATTTAGCAAACCAGATGCTTAATTACCTGAAATTGTAATACTAAGTAATGTTAAATGCCGCCAACAGGTGCTGTTTAACTCGTCATGATCTTAAAGAGCGCCACCATGATAAAGTGAGCCAACTCTACCACGGTCGTGAGACTCATGCCGCATAACAAACCGAGATAGCCTCCAATGTCACCTGTAGAAATATAATGCATCATGTGTCAATGATGGGTCCCAGAAGAAAGTCCGATAATGCTTCTAATAGGAAGCTTTAAAGTATATTAATCAGACTGCAGCCGGTAGTTACACCATCGCCTCCTGTGTTAACGCCAGTATGTACAACTAGCACCACAAGGCCTCCACTGACAAGATCAACGGAAGGGACAGATGTCGGAGTGGAGGGGGAGGAGATAAAGCCTGGGGCAGCTGATAAAGAGACTGGAGGTGTCCGACAGAGAGTGATAGCCGCACAGGAACTTTTCCTGAGGAAGGAGAAAGTTGGGGAGGTGGCGTCATCAACTGTTGGCACATCCGAGTCTTCGCACAGGCCCAGGTACGTGTCCACACCAGTAACATGGGGACCAAGACCCACTCACCGAGGTCCGACAGAGTGGTACCAGGCAGTGACCACGCCTGATAGTGTGAGTTGGCCTAAATATCCAGAAACACTGCATGGGGGACCACTGGGGTCGCTGGATGGGCTGGCAGGATTTGGAGGGACTCCGCCTCAGGCCACTAGCAGACAATACGTTTTCCGGCAAACTCCAAGCATCTTCACCACTCCACTCTCAATGGGGGAAGTGAGATGTAATCTACAGGAGCAGCTGGGGGAAATGCCAGGACGGCATCTGTGTACTGGGGAAGTGAGGGTGCCAGAAGTAGTGATGAGTACAGGACAGCAGCAACAGAAATTGGTGGGACGAGGGGTTGAAGGGCTGCAATCAGAACAGCCAGATGTGAAACTCCCGGCTGACCCGGAAGGGAAAAGTCCACCCAAGGTTGCAGAGGTGGAAGGTGCCGGGAGAATTCACAGGAAACCATGTATCGTCCCTGACCGGTTTGCTGGAGTGGTTCCGTGGAGAGATTACAAGGCCCACTTCGAGTCCTGCGCAGTTATCAATGGTTGGAAGGCGGAGGAAAAAGCCTACTTTTTAGCAGCCAGTTTGAAAAATCATGCCCAGCAAGTCCTTGGGGACAGGGCATCAGGGGAGGTGTTGAGTTACGCGGAGCTAACAGCAAGACTAGAGAGACGATATGGGCCAGGGGAGCAGGCCGAGACGTTCTTAGCTGAGCTGCGGAGCAGAGTAAGGAAAGCAAATGAAAGTTTGCAGGAGCTTGGGCAGGGGATACGCAGACTCACAGAGCTGGCGTACCCAGAACTCCCAAGGAATAGCAGGGAAAGGCTGGCACGGGGGCATTTCGTGGATGCAATACCGGATGCTGAGATACGTGCAGGGATTTTCCGGGCTCATCCTGCTACGCTGGATGAGGCATTAAGGGCAGCACTGGAGACGGAGTCTTTTCTGAATGCAGAGAGGCAACGGCAGCGGAACCAAGGTATCCGACCAGATAGGAACACCAGAACCACGAGGCAAGTGGAATTTGTTTCAAGGGACGAGTTTGAGAGGCAGACAAGGGCCATGTCCGAACAAATGAGGTTGTTGCATGACATGATGTCGGGGTTGACTCAGGCGATGCAACAAGATACTCCTCGGCGGGTGAGCCGGGAAGGGGAGTGGATGCGTCAAAGCCAAGGGTGTTTCAAGTGTGGAAAGATGGGACACTTCAAGAGGGACTGTCCTGAACTTAAGGTCCACCAGGCGTCGGGAAACGAATCCGGGCCAACCCAGCGGGTCATGGGAAGGTCGGAAACAACAAGAGACCCAAGCCAAGTGCCAGTCGTGAAGACGAAGACAAGTCAGTAAAGGAGGACACAGGGCCTGCCAGAGACCCAGTACAACTCGTACCACGTGGGATGGGGGCAGCACTACATGGAGTGTTTGTACAGGGAGAAATAGGAGGACATTCAATTCCGTTCCTGATCGATACTGGTTCGTCCGAAACATTAATTGAGGTATCAGAGTATAACCTAATGGATAAAGAGACTCGACCGAAGTTGAGGCAAGTCAGAGAAGTTATCCGCCAAGCTGATGGGAAACCACTGGCGATTAGGGGAAGTGCCAACATGGTGATAAAGATAGGGGGGTACAGTTCAGAAGTTGAAGTCCTCGTCGCTTCGATCAGAAACAAAGGCATACTTGGCATGAATGTTCTACTGACAGCCGGCTGTACACTGGATCTGAAGCAGCTCCACTTAAAGATGGGGGAGTTCACCACGCCCTGCTGCGGCAAGGATCAGACAGCTTCTTTCTGTTGTCGCATCCGAGCGGAAAGGGCGACCAGAATTCCACCGGGGCACGAAGCAATCATCATGGGAGTGCTAGAAAGGCAGGAAAAACTGAATGGCTTGGGGCTTATCGAGCCCACTGACAGAAACAACTTAGCTGAGCGAGGACTGATGGTAGCAAGAGTGCTGGTGGACGCCACGGCAGAGAGATACCCCATACGAATATTTAATCCGGGCACAGAAGTAGCAGAGGTCGACGAAAGAAGCATAGTTGGCATACTGACATCCACGGATGCAGAGTCCATACAAGCAAGTGATGGTTCCACAGTGATGATGATGGAAAGGGGAAAAGAAACAGAAGACGAAATTAGTAAAACTGGTAAGGAACTTCCAGAGCACCTTACGAGCCTGTATCAGGAAAGCGTAAGTCATCTACCAGACAGAGTCGACGGGGAAAAGGTGAAAAATCTCCTGATAGATTATCAAGATGTATTTTCAAGGGGTATGGATGACCTAGGCAAGACCGACGTGGTGCAGCATGAAATCAGGGTGGAGGAGACACGCCCCATTCGACAACACCCAAGAAGATTCCCCATCTGGCAGCGTGCAGAGGTGGATGAACAGGTGCGAGACATGCTTCAGAAAGGAATCATAGAACCATCAAGTAGCCCGTGGGCATCACCAGTGGTGTTGGTGAAAAAGAAGGACGGTTCTACCCGGTTTTGTGTGGACTACAGGTCCCTTAATTCTCACACTCTGAAGGATGCCTACCCAATACCCCGGGTGGATGACAGCTTGGATTCGCTGGATGGATCTAAGTGGTTCTCAACCCTCGACTTGGCTAGTGGATACTGGCAGGTAGCGCTGGACGACGATGCCAAAGCTAAGTCAGCTTTCGTCACAAGTGGTGGACTC